TGAAAAATATGGGAAGGAGGGAGAGTCTAGATTTAACTGGGTAAGAGATGGCAATAGCAGAGGGTCAATATGGTGGAAGGATATATGCGGGCTTAATGTTATTGATGAGGAGAATAGGGGGTGGCTAGAAGAAGGCTTGAAATTGAATGTGGGTGAAGGAGTAGATGTAAAATTCTGGGGGGACAACTGGAAGGAGGGGAAGAGTTTTGCTAACAAATACTCGAGGCTTTATTCATTGTCAACAGGAAGAAAAAATCAAATTTCACAAATGGGGAATTGGATCAATGGAGCTTGGAAGTGGAACTTATAGTGGAGGAGGTGCTTGCATAGCTGGGAAAAGCAACAGGAGGAAGAGCTGCAAAGGGAGATCCAAGAAATTAAAATCACAAGAGGAAAACCAGACTTGAGGGAGTGGTCCACAACAACGAGGGGAGATACACAACGAGGACAGCTTACCAAATTCTGACAAAGGAGAATAGTTCAAATCAGCAAGGAGCAGTGCTTCACAAAGCCTGGAATGTGTTTATCCCCAGCAAGATAGCGGCTTTCTCATGGCAAGTGTTGCAAGACAAAATACCAACAAAACTCAGTCTGTTAAAAAGGGGGATCATACGAGATATTGGAGAATGCAAATGTGTCTTTTGTGGAGTTGCATTGGAGGATACCAACCATTTGTTCATCCACTGCAAAGTAGCTTATAACATATGGAATGCATGTTTCAAATGGTGGGGAGTAAAAACTGCACTGGATAGGGACTGCAGTAAGGTGCTGGAACAACATCCAAATTTGATTAAAAGTAAAGGGGAAAAGAAAGGGTGGGAGTGCATCTGGTTCTCAATTGTATGGTCAATTTGGTTAGTTAGAAATGAAAAAGTATTTAGAGGGAAAGATGCAGATAGAGATAGGATTGTGGAGCTTGTTCAACTAAGGGCATTCAACTGGATAAAATGCAAAGGAGGAGGAGGTTTTTTCTCATTGGCGGACTGGTTCCACAACCCGGCTGGTTGCTTGGAGATGAGCTATGGAAACAGAAAGAGCATGAACAGTGAAAAATGGAGAAATTGAAAAAGAGGACAGAAACCCGTCACGGATGTGGTGTCGACACCAAAATTCGGCACATAATTTTGGTGTCGACACCATACGGTAAGCATCAGAATTCATTGGATTGGATCAGAACAGTGAGAAATGGAGAAATTGTAAAAGGGGACAAAAATCCGACACGGGTGTGGTGTCGACACCAAAATTCAACACATAATTTTGGTGTCGACACCATACTGTAGGCATTAGGATTTCGACACGGACACACAGAAGGACTAATTGACTCATGTAATTTATGCCTTTCAAATTGAGATGTTAATGGTTTTGGGTACCCCTTGTATTCCATTTTTTTAATAATAAATATTACTTTTGCCGTTCAAAAAAAAAAAACATAAGATAAAACAATTGTTCCTGTTCATACGTTGTCAGAAAACCACATGATCAGAAACTTGCAAGTTGATTGTAATACCAAATGATAATTTGCACTGCTAAAACTTATTCTTTTTTCATTTTATAAACCTACCAATTCTCCTCAGATATGTATCATTGTATCTATCAAAAATCGAATGTGATGGGTTGCCACCCTTCTCAACATCCTGAGGAAGCTTGCGGAAGAAATCAACAGTCAAGTAACTACATTCCATATCAACTAACTGAAGTGTTGCCCTTTTGCTTTGTTCCCTCATTCTTTCAAGTGACTCGATAGCTGCATTTGCAACCTCAACCCTGAGAGCAGGGTACTGCTTTAACTCCTGAGAACCATAACAATGTAACATTCATCTGTCAGCTTGAACAATAATGAACTGAAAGTGAAAAAAGAACAGTAACAAACAGCAGAAAAAGTTATGGTTTGTGAGCATACTATAATAACTACACCGTTTTATACAGGATCAAATGTGGATCACTCAATCTTCTCAAGTCAAAAAATCCAAAGCTTTTCATTACTTAAAAAGCTAAGGAATTGAACAACTAGTCAAACTCTAGTTCTTGCTTGGATACTAAAACTATTTTCCCTTTTCTTCTTAACTTCATGTAGTTCTGTTCATTAGCAAAAAGAAACGTATTTGACATGTTATAACACTAACATATCTGACAATAATGGATGTAACCAGGTCCTTGGAAAGGCCTATAGTACCTTAGCAAAATTAGACCCTTTCACAAGGGAAATTTTGTTGGAGTGCCTTTAGGCATTAGTATGTAGCCTCATAATAATTATAATAATAATAACAACAACAACAACACTACTAAGAAAAGAAGAAAAAGAACATAGAAAGGATATACTGGAGTCTCTCTAACGGCCTTGTGAACCAGATCCTTCAATATGGAATGAACCTGGAAATGTGAGAAACAAATTTAGTCTGTCTTTAAGACTAAGCAACATTATGCATTATAGGAATCAAAATTTGAAGAAAAGAAAAAAATAAAAAACAAAGACAATAAGACAAAAGCTAAGAAGCACAAAGAATAATCAAACTTTCAGCAAAAAAAAATGGTTTGAGCCCCTACTTCCTTATGCTGGATGGCCAACCCAGAAAAGAACACCGAATAGCTCTAGATTCAATGGTTTATTTATGCATTATGCTCCTTAGCAGATTTCTTTCTTTTTTCCTTTTTAAAAAAGGCACCTTTTATGAGATATGACTTGCATAATCTCCAGAAACCAATTTGAGCATTTGATTTAGTAATTTTCTACATTGTTATATTCATACCGCATCAACAGCTGCCTCAGCAGGACCTCTAATGGTCACTAATGACGATTCAATCAGACGGCCGCATCCTTGCTCAGGAGCAATTAAATGAGGTTGATATCCATCAGCTTCAGTAATCAGCTTTCGAATATTTTATTTTACTTTAATTTTTAATAATTATTATAAAAAATAAAAATTTACTTTAATTTTATCAATCACCTAACTAAAATTTTACACATGCCATTAGTATTAAAAATGAAATGAAATTTTATATAAATTAATAAAAAAAATTAATTAATGTGTAAGTTTGTTATAAAAATTATGGTATTGTGTTAACTCTCTTTTTCTCAGCCTCTTCCCACCAAAAAAAAAAAAAAAAGTCTATCTTTCATATATTTTCTTGTGTAACATGTGGAAGTATAGGTCAAGGTCATTGATCTCGGACACCTTAAAATAGGTCATCAAGGTCGGTCATTGCTCTAAGTTAGACATGACCAAGATCAAATGATTCAATAATTGAAGTTGAAGGCACCCTTTTTCTAGTTACACAATAGTTATGGTGAGACCGCACCTAGTTGATCTCCTTTTTCAAAACGTTTATTTTACCAGCTAAGTGGTATCTTGATTATTTCTAAGAAGATCATATAAATGTCTTTCTCAAAACCTATAAATTCCTTTAAGAGTCTTTTTACAGGTACTTGAAACCATTCTTAAGTTTTTTTTTTTTTGTTTCTTTAGAATATGTCAAAGTATTGTTAATTTAAACATTAAAGTGTTTATCTTAACATTAAATCTCAGGGTTTACATGTTAATCAATTTAGAAGACTGGACTTGAAGAAGGATTGGAGATTTTTTGCCGTTACAACGGGCTTCATAGGTATGTGTAGCTGTTTTTTCTTCAAATTTTTTTATTTTATTTAGATTTTTAATAAAAATTTTATACCCTTAAGTTTCTTTTTAAAGTTTTTTTTTTCCTATAGTTGATTGATTTATATCATTTATAAAGTTTATTAGTCTTTTATGATATTAAATCTAAAAACATTTTTTAAATAAATTTAAAAAATGTGATATAATAAGAAGTCAATTTTTTAAAATGGTCTTCTTAATTAGTTGTCAAGATTTATACTTCTAGAGATTGCATAAGAATTAGGGTTACCCTATTTTGTATTACTTTTTATATTATATAAAGGATTTTTATAAATTATATTCTTAGAACATAGATTCAAAATATAATTAATGTAATTTTTAATTATTAATTTATATTAAAAATAAAAAAATAATATTAATTTTAATATTATTGTCATGTGTTTTAATTTAATTATAATTATTTGGTAAAATTAAAATTAAAATTTATTTTTTATGTAAATTAATGACTAAAAATATATAAATTATTATTTTAATTTGTGCTTTAAAAACACAAATTAAAAAAAAAAAAATCTTATAATAACAAATCCCACTGAGATTGGGTAAATAACACACTTCTATGGTATTTTTTTTTTTTAGTATACGTTGTTTAATTTTTTTTTGGGGTGATGTTTAAAAAATTGAGAGGTTTTTTTCTTTTTTCTTTTTCGAAATAAAAAATTCATAGATTAAATAAAAATTGAGAGTTGAGAGAGAGATGGGATAAAGATGATGTTTCAAAAATTGAATCGGAGAGATATAGTTTCCGCTATCCTCGTTGGGTCGGGCGAAAACGGCCAACTGACAACGGCTATATTACCGTTTCCTTCACTTTCTCCCTTACCGACGACGACCCCCTTTTAATCGCCGAGAAGATCGCAGCGCCATTTACAAAC